ATCTTGTGCGTTTAACAAGTTCATTTAATTTAGTACACTGACTCAAGTTGGGATCGAAGAATTCCATTATTTAAGCAAGATTATTAATTTATTGAACATATTTATCGATATTTTACTGTATAGTAATACCTTTTGAAATAAGATAGAGGATGTAGTAGAAAATAATATTAAGCCCATGTTTAAGCCTCATTTTCTAAAGAGGAAATCAGGTCCTGTACCCTATAAAAATAACTAATTTGATTAATACCTTTTAAACTAATTAAAGTTTTTAAATAAGTAATTATTACATCCTAAATTTTTAATTAAAACCCACACTTATTTCAGTAACCTCATGGAAACCCACTCCTCAACATAGAAACCCTTTCCCTCTCCTCAATAGCTTTGGTTTCATCTCATAATATAATTTGGTGTAGGGTTCCAAACTCGTGATTGAAGAAATTTCTCAAGAGTCTCTGTTGGGGGACTCGAGTTCTTTGAATCTCTCATCCTCTGGACTTCTGTCTTCCAAAACTACAGATGATTTACAAAGCTCGTGCAGTATAAGAATATGAAGAATTACTGTTGAAGAATCACCACCACAATTATCTTTACTTTCTACTTTGAAAGTAACAAGCAAGCACTCCTCAAGATACCCACCATCTTCAACTCCACCAAGACACACCTCGCAAATCTAGAACAATCAGGTTCCTTCCAAGCTAGCTTTGCAAAAATGGCAAACCATCTCTCCACCAACTTTTCAATTCAATTCCTCATCCAACAGTTGTCCTTTGAAACACAATCATCATTGGCTACATTTGCTTCAACTTGCCCCCACGAAGCAATCAAGTTTTACTCCCTCATGAGGTGGACTACCACATCCACTCCTCACCCCCATATTTGAGATGCTTACACTTATTCCTCTACTCTTACGGCCTGTGCAGAAGCGAATCAAATTTTAATTGGTAAAACCTTGCGCTGCCATATTTTACATTCTAACATATGTTTGAGTAGAATTACTACTGAAGCGGTTAGGCATAGCCCACAATTGCTTTTTTTTTTGGTAGAAATGGATTTCCTTTGCAAAGTAAACATTGATTTTTAATCGTATTTTGAATATAAGTGTCAAAAGTTTCTAGCCAACGTTGTCTATATTTTTAGCTTTGAATTAGAATTTCGAAACAAGGAATGTCTCTAATCTAACTGCACAATACATGATATAGTTGAACTCGATGTGTACATTGGATATTATATTATCTTAGGTTGTATAGAAACTTCTGAAAGTTGGATAAATGCTAATGGAGATTCTATGCCAAAGTGCAAAACAATTCAAACTCAAGATAAATCTTTTGTAATGAATATCTTCACTCCAAAAGGAACATAACACATTAATGGCTGACTCGCTATTTAACCAATCAATGAAGTCTAGCTTGCCAAACTAATGAGAAATATGAATTTCAACAATAGGTATTCTTTGGTGGCCAAATTGATTTGTGTTGGTGGTTATGATTTGCCACTTTTTTCACTTTCTGTCACTTCATTTAAGATTGTCACTTTTTGTCAACTTTGGTGGTGGCAATGCTTTGATGGATTGATCAAAGCACAAATGTGAAGTTTGTTAAGAATGTTTAGAAAACTTTTTATCAATGCTAGGCAATCAGGAAAAATAATACATTCTGCATCAATTTTTGTCACTTTTTATCACTTTTTTTTTGAATATTTATCATTTTATTGAATAGCTTCCAAATTTAAGTTTTTTTATATGCTAGTTAATAAATTAACTTTATTGAATATTTGTCATTTTTTTCACTTACAATTACTTTGTTTGGGATTTTTCACCTTTTTTAATATTTGTCGCTTTTTTGAATATTTGTTGTTAAAAATGTGACATTCATGTTTTAACAAAGGTTATTTGTGCATTCTATTGGGACAATAATTTTAGTCATTTTGTCATTTGTATATTCATTATCTTGTTTTCATTTGCTTCAATTGTAAATAATGACATTAATTTTATCCATACTTACAAAAAATTACAAAGAAATTGTGCCCATTTGTTTTAAAAATAAAGGGACATGTAACTTTTAATTTCCAGCAATAACTCATATGTAAAAACACAAATAAAGTATTACATAATGTCACTTCTTAACATAAAATAAGATTCGAATTTGTATATTTAAACTTTCAAACACAGACGTATCTATCTATTTAATTGTTCCAATGAGATATTATGATTTTTTTAAAAAGAAAAGTGACAGAATATCATTTTTTCACATTCAAATTCCCGCAAACACTTTGGATGCATCAATTGAATGAATTCAAAGAAATATGAACTGAATGCAAGATTAAAATAAGGTTTAATTCATATATTTAAATTTTGAAAAACATACACACATGCGTCTAGCTAATTGCATTAATGAGACACTGCGACTTTTTTAGATAAAAAGTGGTAGAATGCCACTTTTTCACATTCTTTTTCTTACAAACACCTTGGATGCATAAATTGAATTGATTTAAAGAAATATGAATTTAATGCAATATTAAAACAATGTTCGAATTCATATATTTAAATTTTTAAAAATACACACGTATGTATCTAGTTAATTGCTCCAATAAGATTATGCAGTTTTTTCAGAGAAAATTGAGGAATGCCACTTTTTCATAGAAAAGTGACAGAATGTCAATTTTTTACATTCTCATCCTTGCAAACATTTTGGATGCATCAATTGAATTGACTCAAAAAACATGAATTGAATGCAAGATCAAAATAATGTTTGAAATCTTATGTTTAAAATTTCAAAATCACACAAGGATGCATCTAGTTAATTGTTTCGTTGAGATATTGTAATTTTTTTTTAGAGAAAAGTGACAAAATGTCACATTTTCACATTCTCATTCTCGCAAATATCTTGGATGCATATGTTGACTTGATTCAATGAAAATGAATTGAATGCAAGATTAAAACAACTATAAATTCATATATTTCAATTTTCAAAAATACACACGTATGCATCTATTTAATTGCTCCAATGAGATACTAAGATTTTCTTAGAGAAAAGGAGGAATGTCACATTTTCACATTCTCTTATTCTCAAATACCTTGAATATATCAATTGAATTAATTCAAAAATATATGAATTGAATGCAAGATTAAAATAATGTTTGAATTTGTATACTTAAATTTTCAACACACGCTCGTATGTAATTAGTTAATTGCTCAAATGGGACACTGTCTCTTTTTTAGCTCATTCTCATTCTCGCAAATATCTTAGATGCATCAATTAAATTGATTCAAAAAAATATGAATTGAATGCAAGATTAAATCAATATTTGAATTTGCATAGTTCAATTTCCAAAAATGTTCTTATATGCATCTAGTTGATTGTTCCAATGAGACACTGAGACTTTTCCAAAGAAAAGTGATAGAATGTCACTTTTTCATATGCATCTGGTTGACTGCATATGAGTGTTTAAATCAAAGAATTATAAATTAAACACAAGACTAAAACAATGTTTGAATTCGTATATTTAAATGGTCAAAAATGCACTTATATATCTAACCCCTGTTTGGTAGCAATTTTCATTTGTTTTGTAGAAAAATTATGTCTGTTAGGTAGTCATCATGACAATTGCATTTATTGATAAATCCAAGTGAAATTACCTTTTTACCCCTTTAATTGATTTCATTGTATGCTGACAGTGTCATTTTAGAGAATTTGCTCTTTGCTGAGTAAAAAAAGATTGTTACAATGGGCGTATATTACTGTTCCAACAGTTAAAAGATTTCTAAAAATGTCAAGAAAATGGCTACCAAACACAGTGACCAGTTAATTACTATAATAAGATACTGCGGTTTTTTTTAGAAAAAAGTGACAAAATATCGCCTTTTCACATTCTCATTTTTGCACACACTTTGAATGCATAAATTGAATCCAGGAGCAGCAACCCCCAATCCACATGCCACTACTTCTACCATCTCTACAATCTTAATTGTAAACTCCACCACCGTCAAACACCCCAGTCATGACAGCCATTGAACAACAATAAGCATAAAGAAAAATTCAATCGATAATAAATAGTTTTCTTGATTTGTTTTAGTAAATCAATAAAAAAAAAAGAGAAATGTAGAATTGTTATATCTTAGTTATTGGTGTTTGCTCTTGATAGTTACAATCCAAAAAAAAATTCATAGCAAAACAGAATCCAGTTCTCGCTCACAGCAAAATATTATAATGCAAATCTTGTCGGGGAACTAATTAGACCATCTTAAAATGACAGAATTGAGGAATTAATTGAACAAAGAAAAAAAAATTTTGTAATTTTTTTTCAAATTCGGGGAAGAAAACTTTGAACTTTGAAGAATAGGTAATTGAAGCATTTTTGATCTTGTTTTTGTTTTTATCTGTGGAAGATTTTCTCTCTCTCTCTCTCTCTCTCTCTCTTTTTTTTTCCCTTCGATTTTTCTTTATTTCTCGAGCTTGTCATACAGCAGTGTTGAAATTTTGGAAGCTAATCTTGGTTTATGTTTGAGCGTAAAAAATACGTACTTACCATTTAACCCAATTTTGTCATGAGTTTTCAAAACCACCCCAAAATTTAGAGCATTTGTGCATGTTACCATTTTCTAAAACTCATTTTTAATTGCACATTCTTCCAAATATAATTCTGCAGGTAAACTTAAAATCTTTTTCCTACTTTTAAACTAATATTCTCAAAAAAATTATTATGTCAAATATCAAAATATTAAATTTATATAATTTAAATATATTTGAAAATATACAATTCATTCTTTTGTCAAATATCAAATATAAATAAATACAATTTACATATTTTTAAAAACCCCTAAAATTCAAAAATAAAATTAAGTTGCATGAAAATGTATGAATTTGGATATTTTTTCCTCATTGTAAATTGGCTATTGGGTCATCTTCTAAAACCTAGGAGGGGCTCAGCCCTTTGTTTCGGCACGGCCGGGAGAGAGCGTGTTTGGAACATTACTTTGATTGAATTTGCTCTTGGAATTCATAATGGCCAAGCGAGAGATATCCAGTACTTTGAAGAATCTCAAGGTATGTACGATATCGATAAGTGTTAATTATTTTTTCTTGCTCATAACTATAAATTTGATGTAATTTTTTGCTATTTCATCTGGGCTTAGCTTAAATTCATCTGGGTTTATTATTATTATTATTATTATTATTATTATTTCTCCAGTTCTTGGAAAAGAAAGATTGTATTTTTTTATTTATTTATTTCATTAGCTTCGAAATTATAATTCCAGATATGAACCGTTTTTTTGTTTTTGTTTTTGCAACATATGTAGTTTATGCAAAGAGCTCTTCAGAAAGAGGAGAAACCTAAGAAGGAAGAAGAGTCAATCATACCTGCTGGTGATTTTCCTTCTTCTACTGCCCCTAAAAGATGGTAAGTTTGTTACTTTTAGAATTTGAATTCTGTCAAATTGGAAGCAAATAATATTTTATGTTTCTTTAATTGTCTTAGGCTGTAATTTTTCCCTTTTAAGTATATTATAGCCTTTTTGGAATGATTACTGGGAAAAAAAACCGAGAAAAAGTTGGCTTCAAAGTTAATTGCGACTAAGTAGAGTTTCATCGAAGTAGATCGATTAATTATGAGGGCAGCTTGAGTAAATTCTGCATCTCTGAGGCAATGCTGAGATTGGTTAGAGATTGTGAACTTGTTGTTACAAGATCATGATAAATGTCGACGAATGGCTAACCCTAAGACAATATTTCATTATAGAGAACGGGTAGTCTGGCAGTTGGGGTTAAATAGTTCAATTATATTTGTCAATTTTGATGTTGTGCATGTGGAAAATTAGAGTACAACAAACCAGTTACATTTGTGGGTTATTTCTTTTTTATAGTATCCTTATTATTGTGTTAACTATGCTGCTGGAATTGTGTCCATTGTTGAACATCTTTTGTGCTGGTCACTGTAAATAATAGCTAATTATAGTAGGTTTTGTTCTCCTAAGTGTGTTCTGTATTTTTATTTCAATTCTGTTGACATGCAGTGTTGTTATAATCGAAGGTGATCCACATCCCACTGCAACAAGAGGTCGCATGTCATTTTTAAGTTTTAATCCTTCTATTGATGTGAGTATAAGGGTTTTGAATGACCTGCAGTTCTTGAAAGACGCTTCATTTGACATGATATTTTAAATTCAATAATCTCACATCAAAACTTATTTTGGTAGAAACTCAACGAGGAAGCAGTTGACCCTACTCAACCAGAAGCCTCTGCTATGAGTTCTGGAAGACAAAGAGAAACAGTAATGAACAGGTTGGCTGTCCGACCTTTAAGCTATTGTTTTAGTTTTCTGTTAATGACGGGTTCCCTCAATTTAGAACATGACATTATCTTAGGTGGAAATTTTGAAAAAATATATTTTTGTATGCTTTAGCTTTCTCAAGTGAATTCCTTAGCAGTGGCCTCATATTATATCAAATTGATGTTCATGAATCTAGGTTGCTAAAGCAGTCTATTTTTGGTCCATTATATTTTGCTAGAATAATTGAATGTCATGTTGAGGAAATTCATAAACACCTACTCCTGTCTTCTTTTTGAACTTCATGAAGTGATTATTTTCAGATTATTAGAACTAGTGCTAGACTGTTATCGCATGTTGTCTTTGTCAAAAGGAACAGATTTATGGGGTGCTTCCGTTATTGCATATTAAGCTTGTCTTGAGAGAATGAGTCAGCCATGTTTGGCTAAGCTTCAAAATAAGTAAAAGTCACTTTTATGTAACTTTTTGTTTTCAGACATGTTTGGATAAGTTACTTTTTGTTTAATTTTAAGTGGAAGAAATTACTTATTCTGAACGTAACTTTCATCTTAGTGTCAAATGAGCAATGTATTTCCCAGTTTGGTTAGTAAAAAAAATATTTATTTTAAGACTTACTTATTTACTTACAAGTCTTTTAACCTTAGTCACTCATGATCTATGAATTGCTAACTTTGGGAAGGAACTGAGATTTGTTGCCTTGTTCTTGAATACATCTGATTTTCCATTATTATTACAGAGAAAATGGGACCTTGCAAGATGGTTCACACAACTTGGAGCCAGATGGTTTGAGTGGTGATGCAAGTGGAGATCTTCAGAGCAAACGAGCCGATGCCTCTGAAGTGCCATATCCAAATAAATCTCCGAAATTTTTTCAAGATGACCTACATTCATCTCCAAGTAGAAGTCGTAGTTTTCAAAATCAACACAAGCGTGAAAAGATGGATTGGAGTGTTCTACGGCCTCCGAAGTATCAAAAGAAAAGGAAGTAAGTGCTATTAGGTCTATTGGACTGGTTGATGTTTCGTTCTACTTTGTTTAGCTGGACATCATGTCACATAATTCACAATTCGCCCTCCTTAATTAGTATTTTTTTCTCATCATTATTATATAAATACTGTTTAACTTGTGGTATACTTTGATTACAAAAGTAAATGCTATGAAGGTTACTCAAAGTTAAGTTATTATCTGTCCCTTGTCTTTGTATTTTCAGTGTGGAGTTGCTGGTGATTGCACTCTCAGTTGTCTCTGTACAGTTTATCTTCTCGTATTTACGCTTGTCATTTTGTATTTAATGTTCGATTGTTTCTATTGGTTTGCTAAATCTCTGTGTCGTCACCATCTTTCTGCATCATATTTATGGTATTTTTTTTTTAAGTGCTCCATGCGTGTAATCATGTCAGTCACCTGTTATTTGAAGTCAGATTCCCCATCTTCCTTTTGGTTTCCTAAAACCAACGGCCATCTCGCTTATTGTTAAAGATTTTGCTTAATATCCAGCGCATCCTATTTCTAGTTTGCTTTGGAAAGGGGAGACCAAATAACGAGCTCAAACTTGGTGTGAGTTTCTTCATAGATTTTGGGCTCTAGAGATCGAATCTCTCTATTATGAGAAAAAGTAGGCTCAAGTAGAGTAATTTGGCAAATTTCTTAATAGATTAATGCACAAGCTGGAAAAGGATGTAAGTTAGAATCCTCTGAAATACATTTACTTATGCAGAGACTGCTACTTTTGAATCTTGAATCCTTGTCATTCTTCCAAATGTAAAAACAGCATAACACATTCAGTTTGCATTTGTATGAGATAATAGAAACAATGGCTCATTGGTTCAGTTCTTGTGTTGGATTTATGTCCAGGTAGGGTTTAATAACTCGAATAAGTGTTAGTCTAGGCGCTCATGGTCTCATCTGCTTTCTCGATATTATTATGTATGAAAATCTTGGTTCATTGTTTGTTATAGTGGCCTAATAAGGAGCGAGACATCATTCACTTTGGTAAATGTAGGAAATAATGGAATATTCCTCTCTCCGAACCAACCTTGATTTTATCGAGAGATGAAGTTGTGTTACGTGGCTTATACCATTACGTTCGTACATTACTGAGTGATGAGTTGTGTTACATTGCTCATGCCATTATGTTCACGAGCCTACGTCTCAGGGCTGTGAAATGTAGAAGGAATCATCATACATTTATCATATAATTAAATCCACTAAAATGCATACTAAATTTGCACGAGGAAAATCATTCACAGGCATTCCGCATTAAGCAAATTGAAATCTCAATTGACCGGATCAGAAATTCTATTGAAGAACAAATTCGATGGACATTACAAATGTGGCGCCAACGAACTTCTTATAAAGCATGTAAATACTAAGCAAAATTAAACAATATATTACACAAAGAAGCCGATTCAGTGCCTCACTGCACGAGATTACATGTAAGTCCTCACACAGCAACGTCCTGAGCAACATGGCCGATCACTTCTGGGCCGGCCGCCAACATGAAAGAGCGTAAAGAACCCGGCCTTTCCATCCTTGTAGCATCCACTTCCCATCTTCGTCCACTGAAAAATCCTTGTGGTAGTTTAATTTGACCTTGTTCCTGATAGCTTTCACGATCTCCTGGTCAAGTGGAAGCTGCCTGAAACCAGCTCGGAGATTTCTAACTTGCCACTGTTTGTATGTCTCTGGCCTATCGACCCTCTCCGTGCCTTCACAAGCTATAATGTTCATTGCATCCTTTCCAAAGAACTCTTTCTCGTAAAGTATTCTATCAGGATCCTCGCGGGGCAGAGTAGCCTCAAATATATCAAACATGGACGAGAAATGGAAGAGTGCCTCTCTGAACCTCGTAACAAAGAAGGGGGTGTTGTACGTCCCATTAACTACTCCTTCGATGTACATATCAGGATTGATCCTCTTGATCAAGTTCAAAACAGCATCTCGTGGACTGCTCGCAATTACTGTCTCATCAGGCACATTATGAAGACGGTGTAAACTATTTACTATAAGTAGCTCATTCTTGTTGATCTTAAGTTCTTCAAGTTGGACGGTTTCCCACTTCTTTGCTATGGCATTGAACTCGAACGGGACATTAAATCTCTTGCAGTATTTTGTAAGGCGAATCCCAGTCTCCTCGACCCTCTCTGCAGGGCGAAAACCCGGTTGGGGAAAATCTATTCCCGTGATGCGAAGCTTTGGCGGTCCACCGGGTCGTTCTGAAAGAGTCTTTATAAAGCAGGGCCACTGGAAGCCATACAAAATGCCGAAATCGATGATGTGAAGTCTTTTCGCTCCATTAGCTAATTTCCTGATGGATCTGTTTGCAAAGAAATTCGACATCTTCTTGTGTGGGCAGGCTGTAATACTTGTGTGGTAAGATTTCAAGATTTCAGAAGCCGATATCCTCGAGGAACCAAAAGCCGTATAGGATGCTGTTCCGGTGCCAGCCATACGGGCCTCGAGGGCCTTCACAAAGTAATGTGCGAGTCTTTCCGTTTCATCGCCATGGGTAGAAGAATGTTGCCTTATCTTGATTAGAAGCTCGTTAGCCGTCCTACTGTTGTAGCTTCCAACGGCTTGTGCACATTGCATTAAGAGACTCCTTAAATCCACCACTTCTTTCTGAAAACCTTGTTTCTTTCCACCTCGTGGCCTTCCTCGATTTGATACTGTCAACTGCCTGTTCTGCTGGAACAACTTCTTAGTGTCACTTTCCACAGCCGGACAAAGCAACACCTTGTCGAACATCTCTAATGGCTCCGTCTCACCATTATTATTTGCCAACTGTTTGCTACTCCTATGTTCTTCTGAAAAAGCAGCCTCTTCCCTATACCGGTTTTTCTTTTCTCTGGAATTATTCTGTGATAGATATTCTCCATTTTCCACCACGGCACCCTCAGATTCACCCGCCTTTTTCCTAGGATTCAGATCAGTTCCAAATAAGCCATCGTTGGGGCGGAAGGAAGCGATTTCTCCTCCTCCGCCAGTAGATTTCAAACCAAATTTGTTTCCACTCAAAGAATTTTGTATCCGAAATGCATTCATGTAAAAGGCATTCAGCCCATAACCAGCAGCATCAACACTGTTTGAGGAGCCAAATGACTGCGGATTTAACTGTAAATTTGACAGTGAAGGATACTGATTCAAAGGCTCAAAATCCTCCTGATTAAGGTACGATTTCGACTCAATTGAATCCAATGAACTTCCACTACTAAATGCACTACAGGTTTTCGATAAATTACCATTCGGGCTTTGTGTGAATGGATCACCTATCGACGAACAAGGGGACTTGCCATTGAGGACATCAGACAAACACTTCTCGGCCGCTTGGAGAGCCAAGGAGTCCTGTAGCATACATGGCTTATTTCCTAAATCCTCTTCTTCCATAAGCATTTGGCTTATGAACTTGAGGATTTCATCAGAATGATCCTTTTCTTTATCATCAACAGTGGATGATGATCCATTTGAAAGGACATCTAAATCCTTAAAGCCATGATTCATTTTGTACCCATTCACATGATTTTCTTCAGGAAATACTGATTTTGAACAGCAATTGAACTTAAAATCATTTGTAGCCAAATATTGCCCAACAACATCCATAATAACAAGGGACAAAAAAATTGAAAATTAAGAACTGGGCTTCCTAAATCTATGAAAAATAATGATTCAAAAACTGGGATGAATATTAAACAAAAAATAAAAAAATAAAATTATAACAGCAGGGTTTAAGAAAAAAATGACAAAAAATTGAAAAGTACGAATATAGAATAATGATTAAATAGTACCTTCAAGAGGAAAAGAGAGATACAACGAATCCAGACATGAATCTAAGGTCTTGAACTAAGGTTTGAAAATTGAAACAAATGTTTGAACGGCAACCTTTATTATATAGTGGCTATTGTAGAGTCTTGAGCAAAGAAACTTCCAGGAAATTCATGATATTTCCCAAATTTTCTCTAAAATGTATACTGAGTGGCAACTGGCAACCTCCCCAACCGGTATTCCTTGAATATGCCGTGTAGCCCATTGGGAGATTGTAGCCTCAATTTAGATGACACCGAATGATATATTGGGCTTGTTTGACACCCATTCTTTTGAAGAATGAGTTTTTGAATAGTGATGGATGTAAAGAATGTGTGGTTAAAAAGTAAGAAGAATTTTTGGATTTATGTGTAATATTAATTTATTTGGAGAATGTGTGGTTAGAAATGAGTACTGTAGAAAAATGAGAATGATAATGAGATAAAAAAATAGGTGTCAAACGGGGTATAAATTAGAGGTTCATCTATCATTTATTGCCACAATAACGTCACATAAATTGAGATTGTAACTAGAGTTGTAAATGGAACGGATATAGATCGGATCTGCCTATATCCGATCCGATTCGATAAGAATAATTATCCATTTCGATCTGATAATTCAACGGATATTTGATTGTTAAATTCATATCTGTTTTGCTATGTTATCGGATATCCGATTTGAAATTAAAGAAATTAGGAAAAAATAATGTTGGAATCAATTTTTTCCCCAATTTTCCCAATTCTTAAACGAGATTAATAATTATAAATTTTTCTAACTTTTTATGTTTTGAATTTTGTAACTTTTTTATTTTAAATTTATTTACTTTCTCATTTATTTATTTTAGTCACAAATAACATGCCATTAAAATATTTTATCGACTCAATTATTTATAACAAATCAGATCGAATTATTATCGGATCGGATTAACCTATATCCACATTTGATCTATTTAGTTAACAGATTATCAGATTCAGATCTTGATCAGGTAATTGGATTGAGATCCTAAATCCATCTCCCATTAATTTAATCTGATTCTGATCAAAATCCAATCTATTGATAGTCATAGTTGTAACCCCACTAAGACTACATAATATTATTCTAATACTTTTCGACTATGTTTGATGGTCATTAAAAAAATGAGAAAAAGAAAATGACATTTTGAATAGTGATTTTTTAAAAAAATATGTGGTTAAAAATGTAGTTTTTTTTTTTAAATTTACGTACATAATATTTTATTGAATCAATGTATGATAAAATAAGTATAAGAAATAAAGAGTTTTAATTCAAAAATAGTGATAAGAGAAATTTATTAAATCATTGAAGATATTTGTCAAGAAATTTTTATTTTATATATAGATCTCGTTTGATTTTGATTTTTTTAGAAATTATTTTTTCCAAATTTATTTCCTATTATATGTTTTTTAATAAAATGGTTTTATATTTACATTCATAGCTTTTTTCTATTTTTTAGTAGTGCTCTAAAAAGTGTAGCTAGACGTGGAGATCAAATTTCAAACTTTACAAACTTAGACAGGACCTAGACATAAAAAAATGTTACTTTTTTTTTTTATTATTTTAAAAATCATTTAATAATTAAAATAATACATATCACATCTAAAATTATAAAATATTATATTTACTTAATAATTCATACAATCAATCAAGTATATAATTTTCAAATTTTTGAAATGTAAAAGTTAGACTATTTTTTATAGTTTCAACTTTCAATTAGTTCTACTTAACAGATTTATAAAAAATTCATACATATTTTCAAAGTTTTCAACAATACGATAAATCTCGTAATCATAATCAGATAAAATATTTTTTTTACTTTTATACAGATAAAATCATTTAAAAATTTGAAAACAAAGTCAAACAAAAGCCTATGTAAAAAAAACAAAAACAAAAACAAAAAAATTAATAAAGTGCATTTACGTGTGATCAACTTAACTTAGCAATTGATCGCTTAATTCACACATACTGCCAAGAAAAAACATTTCAACGCTTAAGACACGCTTTTTCAAATATAATTTTTAGTCAAACTTTTGTCCCCAAAACTTTGCAGAAAATCAAATTCAAACGAGGACTTGATGTTAATGTAAAGATTATGGGGTGAAGTTTCATGCACCTGTCAATTCACGACGACCACCCTTTTGTTTTTTACTTATTTTAGATTTGTCGAAATAGTCACACACCTTAATACTTCTTAATTAATTATTCTAATGGAATTTGGATCTATTTTATGAAACAATTCTAGAACGAAATGATTCCATGCTTTATAATATTAATTATCTAATGCAAGTATAAAGATCACATGTCCATCAATTCACTGTAATCTTCTCTCGATGTGTAATTTATTCTTAAAATCGATTAAATTGTCAATCATTGACATATAAATAAATTGATAATCTTATCACTTAATACTTTTTCACGCGTTGTTTGGATTCATTATGATGCTTTTTTGCACGATGATTTTATTATAAAAAAATATGGGACTTGGTTTTATGCAACGTCTCAATTTTTGTGTAGCCTTCTTTCTTATTCTTTATTTAACATTGAGATCCACTGTCGAGTTAAGTACCAACAATTTAGCGAAATAATAGTCATATATCTTTATATTTTTTAGTCAATTATTGAAGAGAGGATTTGGATTTATTAAGAATTTAAACATTACTTTAAAGATATTGAACATGGTTTTATGTAGTTTGTCAATTTCGTTTACGACTTACTACCTTCATTGTCCATTCGAATTAGAAATAATAAAAAAAAATAATAATAATAAGGATTTTGATTTATTGGAAATTATCTATATATTTAATATTACTATTTAGCGTCCTTTTGATAGGTAAATGTGGAAAAGAATTTTAATTTTATGTTAGCTGGAAAATAAAAATCTATCAAACTCATAAGAATTCGTTTTTTATGGAAAAAAAAATGCAGTTTAAAGTTGTTGTACTTTGAAATTCGGTTTCTATTTCCACGTTGCAATCAAACGCTCAAGTGAAATTCGTTTTTCTCGAATGTGACATTTTTTATGGAATTCGTTGCAATCAAACATGATCTTATATTCTTAAATGAAGTTATATGCTGACAATTGATTTACTACAATTATTTTTCTTTATTTGGGTTTGGTTATCCATATGCACTTTAGGCAACATAGGATTAAAGTTAATTTTTAGACCAAGTGGCCACAACTTTAATAGTTAGGAACTTGAATGACTTAGTGCTTATTTGGTATGGATTTTTGGGGGAAAAATTGATTTTTGAATAGTGATATGATGGGAAATGTGTGGTTGAAAAAGAAGAAAAAAATATTGATGTGATGGCAAATATTATTTTATTAATTTACTGTAAAAAATGAGAATTAATTTATTGTAGAAAATGAGAATTTGTACCAAACAGACTCTAAGTAAAACTATTTTAAATTCATTAGCGTACATTCAATTTGTTGTTCCCTTTAAGTTAGAAAGTTATTGTCGTAGTTGATATTTGAACCATGCACATGTATGATGTGCTATATTTCATAAAGTGATTTGTATTAACAATCCCAAATTTTCAGAAATAAATTTTGTAANTTAAAAAATAATTTTTTAAAATTTACATGTAAAATTATTTGGTGAAAAAATGTGTAGATTAAAATAAATTTTGAAAAAAATGAATTTTTGAAAAAATGAGAGTGAAACATAAAATACTTAGGATGTGCTTGATTGCTAATATTTTCCACGAAAAATGTGTTTTTTCCATATAATTTCTTGATTTTGTGTTGTTTGAGAAATATTTTTCACAAAAATTGATCTCATACTTTTGGTCACGTGACCACATTTTCCTTGAAAACAAGGAAATATCTTTTTTTTAGGGAAATATAGTTTTTTATTTTCTAGACAATTCACACACACACACTCACTCACTCTCTCTCTCTCTCTCTCTCTCTCTCTCTCTCTCACACACACACACACACTTATCCCCTTTCTCATTTAGCCACCATTAAGAAAGGATAAGTATAATAATAGAATTACCTACAATTTATTTTCTTTCCATACAAATCTAATACTCTCAGTCAAATGCACCCTTAATTTTTACTCATTGTAACACTTACAATTCCTTTTCTTAATCAATTATTTTTTCTTTAATTTTTCATTAATTAATATATCTAGAGATGACAAAAAAGCTCAAACAGCTCGGGACTAAGCTCGAAAAAAGCCCGAGCCGAGCCATATTTTGAGGCGCGGCTCTAGCTCGGGCAAGCCCGTGAAACGGGCGAGCCTCCCCATTAGTTAAAAAAAAATTAAAATTAATTTTTTTTAAAGAACTACCTTTGTAGGCAGCTATTTTCAGGTAGCAATTAATTTTTTTTTTAAAATCCAAAAAATCCGAACCGACTCGGGCCGGGCCTCATTTTTTTGGTCGGGCTTTGCTCGACTCGGGCCCAAAAAAGCTCGAACCGAGCCCGAGCTTTTTTTTTTCAACTCGACTGGTTGACATAGCTAAATATATCTTGTCTTTAGTGATGATAAATATTCTTTTTTGTGCTTTGAAATGATGGAAAGTACTTCATCGAACGTTTGAATATATTGGGTATTAAATCCATGTTTAATGGTCATTATTTGATAAAAACAAATTTTTGAATAGTGAATTTTTGGAGAATATGTTGTTAAAAAGTAGAGAAAAATTTTAGATTTACGAACATAATATTTTATTGTGTGAATGTGTGACTAAAAATGAGTATATAGAATAAAGAATTTAAGCCATTGTTTGAGGCCCAGTTTATCAAAATTTCATTTTTCAAAACTCATTTTTAA